TTTCTATCGACTCGTATCACTTCTCTTGGCATTTTCATTTACATTTTCTGAGTTTTTTTTAATATCTTGGAATGCCATATTAGTTAGCCAATCTTACTGTCGCCCAACTTAATTTTGGTGTATCACCTTTTATAGATAGGACCTATATAGCCGTCGATACACAAAGATGATTCCTCGTACGACCACAATGAGATTGAAATTGATGGGAAAAGAAAATTGAAATTAAAAAATTAATAAATAGCATTTGAAGTAACAATGACAATTCTTCCACTGTCAGGAACAGCCAACTGTTCGTTTTAAATAATTTTTGATAACCATTGGAGTGGTTTCGAACACAAATTAAATTTCAGGCTTTTATATCTTTTAGGCTGACAAGATTAAATTCAAACTAAAAATTACATTGGATAAATGTTCCATGGCGGTTTTGAAAGTCAAAAAATTTGAAAATTGTCAGAAAGCAATTTACCTTTGATAATGTTCAATAAATCACTCAGAAAATTTTATATTTATAATTCTTTTTTTAATTTTTTTTCAACATACACGAATTTTTGTGGTGTATCTCTACTTGATGCAGGACTGCACCAAAGTTTTCAGATTAGAAAAAAACTGAAAAAAAAGTTTACACGAGATGATCCAGATAATCCAACCGGGCCTTAATGTTTTTCCCTTGCAATATTTCAAAAACTAATCAACCAATTTGATGTTTTTCTTTTAAACATCGGTATCAATATCCATCTGAATCAATGGACATCCATTCCATCTGTTCCTACAACATTTCTGAAATATTCCATTTTTTAATTTTTCCTGTAAAACTTTTTTCAACACATTCACTTTCGCACACTCGGCGGATAAACTTGAAATAGTAGTACTAAAAATTATAGTAGACATTGGATGGAAGATGGAAATTGGAAACAGGGAGAAATATCGAAAGGTGAAAAGAAATATTATGTTAAAGTCATTTGAAAACCTAGCATCAGCTGTCTGGCTATCGTCCTTAATAACTTAGCTATAAATGAATGGAAAAATTAACGATGATTCCACAATTTAATGCATACCAGATGACTTGAAAATAACTTGACATTCCCTTTTTCAGGATTATAAAGAAAAATTGAAGAAAGTCTGTACGGTTAGAGCAGAAGTTAAGTCCCACATCTCGAATTTACCAGATTTAACACAATTGCCAGACGTAACAGGTGGACTAGCCCCTCTACCATCAGCTGGTGATCTCTTTTCTCTTCACTAGTTTTGGATCTGACAAATCGGAAAAAACTTCAAAGAAAAGTGGATTGAATCACCGATCAGAACATGACTATTGTTATATATGTATAAAATTTGAAAGATTTTGCAAGGCATTATCTACCTCCAGTGCTTCACCAATTGTCATGAAATTCCCAAGCTCTTAAATCGATGAAAATTCACCAATATTTCCACAGAACGCTGTGATGTTTCAATGGTGGATTAATCGGGTATGTTTATTGATTTAGAAAGACATGAAGCTTCCTATTTTAAAATTAGTTATGAATTATCCAAGAACCATAACAGATCGAATATGAATAACTGTTCTTTGTAGATGAGTCAGTCGCTAATTCGAAAGATATCATTTATTTTTATAATCAGTGAATTATAAATTATTCACGAATTGATAGACCATAACAGGCGTTTCATCCCCTTTTTGAGCACAATTTTTTTATTCCTTCAATAAAAAATTATTGAGGAGGAATTCAAATTTTGCATGGATTATACCGTTCTTTAATATGAAAATTGAATGAAGAATAATTTCTACTTTTTCTTTCATTTTGATGAGTAATTAAAGTTCATGTGTTCTAATTCCTTTGTTTCTCATTATTTCTCAAAATAAATAATATTTATTTAATTTTCTTCATGGAATTTTCATATACAAATAAATCATCCAATAATAAAGCTTGTGCTACAATCAAATCTCCTTTAGGCTGATCCTTACTAATTAAGATGTATTTAGCAAACAGTAGTATGATTGAATTATCACCTCCCGCTGTGTAGATAGTAACACATTTTGAGGTTTTGTTTTATTTGTGCAGTGAATAAACCCTATGAATCGCAGAACATGGAATTTATTTCAATAGAATCGTAGATACAAAAACATTTGTTTGTTTAGGCCCCCTATAATTATTAATTTAAATGAATGAAATGTTAGGGAAATGAAGAGAAATTTTTAGAAATGATTACTCCATAATTGTGTATAAATTCAATTAATAATAAATGTTTTCGGCGGACAAATCACTCGTATTATTTGTCGGAAACAATTTATTCTTAATAAACACATAACCACTAGGCTTAAGTGAATTTTATTCGTTCTAAGAGGATTCTCCGGATCCACTTAAGCAATTTGGTGATTTATTATTGTCGAAATGAAAATTAGGATTTTTGATCTCCGATAATTGTTTAAATTTCCACTTTGAATTTTAAGGAAGACGTCAAGAGTTGATGACTCATTTGATCATTCAATTTCTTGAACCTGCGCAATTCAATGGTTCTTATTACTGAGATCATAGAAAACATGGTTTTTTTATTCCTAAATGATAACTCAACTTATCAGTGGAAAGCGACAGGCTTATTGTATTGATAAAATAATATACTTATGTTAAGGATAGTCTCAGGTCTCGTGTGGATGAGGCGTTCGTGTTGGTTTCAGAATTAATTTTCCTGTATCGTCACAACTCATGTTGAAATCACCTAAAACACCTCTTGCTCTCTGGGTTATGATACTGGGAGCTATTACTCTTCTGTGGACACCCAGAAGGAATAGTACGACTGAAAATATTAATAATGAAGAGTATATTAATTATATTGAGTAACTGATTAATTATTCTAGGTGAAAAAAAAACCGGGTGAAAAATATTTATTTTGTCAAGAAGCTCTACTTGAATTAAAAAATTGGAGAGGGACAAGTCTTAGAAACAATCATCTCGAGTTGAACTTTTTGAAAACGTTCTGCCATGAAATGAATCCGTCGTAAGAATAGATTTACTTATTTCAAAAAATGATATTTTCTACGTAATATTCATTCATTTTTCTCCTGCCTTCAAACTCTCCATTTTTTGAGTAAAAAATTCGGAAATATATTTTGTTTTTAATTTCACATTCGTTGAAAACTAAATTTTTGCCCTTGTACTCTAATGCAGGCAACGGCAACCTCCAAGTGGCTCTGAGCAGAGCCATAATCTCAAATTACGTATCCAATAAAGTTTATATTCATTTCAATTATAAGGGTCCTGGTATGAACATAGTACTATAGTACTATACATAGTACTGCACTCACAGTTACTGTAGTGGGGAGCGTCCCATGAAGTGCCTGAGAAATATGGGAAAGTGGGAAAAATGCCCACCGCATTTAATAAAAAAATAAATTAAAAAACGAAAACTTAACGACGAATTCCTGTATAGGGAGGTGTCAGAATCTTTTTATTTTTATTGCTGATATTGATATTATTCTGATTCCAATTTCAAAAAATTCTTCTACTTTGCCTTCTGCATATCATATTTCCTCAAAAAAGTAATATATTGGGCTGCTGGCAGATTATTTGAATGGCAGATTCTTAGAATTGGTTGAAGAAAAAAGCAGACGAAAAAATTTAATACATATCAGTAATTGAAACAGTAATGATAAATTACAATTTCTAATTTTGGCAGTTTAACTACTACCGAAATGTATTAACTTATTTTGAAGCTGTCAAATTGCGCTATGAGAAACTCAATAGGCCGAAAAATTTAGCAAGATGACATATAATACATCACATAATTTTAAATTTAACTAGTTTGGCAGGTGTAGAGGCGATATTTTTTAATTTTCCTTTGAAACTCCTGAGACCCTTCATTTGATAGCTCGGAATTCCGCTTCGATATCGAGCTGAATGTCAAATCACCATAGGCTAGTGAAAAAATTAATAAAACTGTCACAAGAATTCAACTTCCTGAATTAACATTTTAAAATATTTTGTCTAATAACGACGGTTCCGAAAAATATATGGAAGGAAAAGTATCAGTCTCGGCAATTTTAATTACCTAATGTTGTTTCCTTATATTAAAAATGAGTATTTTTTAAGAAATGTCTTCAGAAAATTTTCTTCAATCAACTTTTTACTAAAATCAATTTTATACCATGAATAAATCGTTGGGGGAATGTTGGATGGTGACATTCTCTAATTACTTCCGTGCGTCAGAATTGAACAGGATTTTCCCACATTTTATTTATGACGTCAACTTTTAAAATCAAAAACGCCATGACAAGAAAAATTTGAAATTTTTTACTTGCACTCATTTTTCCGCTTTTCCTTTTGTTCATCGTTACCCCACTTCGGTTGATTTAAGCGGAGGAGAAGGCCTTGTACGATCTGGGTCGTAAAGACCCATCATCCGATACAATGGACTCTCGTCTACTCTTTGTTACACACTAATAAAGGTCGAAAGCACGATTTGCCCTCAGAAGAGAGTTTGCCCAGCCCTGCTCTAATCATTACTCTAATGTACTATTTGTGGTTTGCTTATCAAATTATTTACGATAGCTAACAAACTAGGCATGAAAAAGGTCGTATTTTACATGAACTTATTCACACACTCCAATTGCGTTATATTACCGATAAAAATTTTAGGATACATTCATCCTTACCCAATGAAGTGGGTGCGCTGAGTCTACGAATTATATTTTTTAGCTGAAATCACACCGAATTGAGTAAATAATAAAATATTCTGGTAAAATTTTTCATTGTGGAGTGTCAAATTATTACACGTAGAAATCGTCTAGATGGGCTACGAATGTTCTTTCAGATCCCCTTACATTCGCAGATTCGGAGACATCTGCCAATTATGAGTTAACGAAATTATGGTTGAAATAATCTAAAAAATACTTAAAACTTTTTCAGAGAAGAAAATGCTATACATATGCCCCATGTGCTGCGTACGGAACAATTTACATTCAGCATACTTCTCCTCCCCCCCCCCTTCCCACTATGGCTGAAGTGACAGCTGATCGCCACCTCAATTTTTCTGTATCTAATTCGGAGACATCCATCAATGATAAGGTAAGAAAACTATAACTAAAAAAAATCTTTAAAATCTTTAGTAATTTTTCGGACACCGACTTTGTAAAATAATGCCCACCAACCACATAGGAAGATATTGTCTTTTGTCGACCTCCGTCTCCCGCCCTGCTCCATCAAATCAGATATTTCCAACTTGTGTTTTTGTACAATTGTCCTCCCATTTTAATGGAGAAGCACGGACTCTATGACTCTATATTTTTGTTCTTTTTTAACGTTTTTTTCAGCCTATATGCATTTATGTGATACAGCTCTGCTTCATGCCGGACTGCATCAAAATTTATATAAAAATATTTTAAAAAAAGAAAAAAATTATCTACGCGAGATAATCAGATATTCCAAACAGGCCTTAATTAATTATCTTGTTGAGGTGCTATTGGGTAACTTTACTGGGATTATAATTTCTTTTTGCCCCCAGCGGGAGCAAAGTACACAATCCACACAGGGAATTCTGACTTTGCTTCTACGCCGGGGAGAAAAATGATGTTCTCACCACGGAAGGTAAAATAAAGAAGGTTTAGCCACATGCTTACCACCCTCGCCTTCGGCTCGGGCCGTCATTTTGCAAGTGGGCAAGCCTTCTTTACTTTACCTCCTTAGGTGAGAAATATACTATAATATCATACTCATCACGACAATACCTCACTGATGTTAGAGATTTTTATAAGTGCATTTACGAATTGTTCAAATACTAGAAATTCATTGCCCACTAGAAAATTTGAATGAGACGACTTCGTATCATTGCAGACTGTTTACCTCTACATTTGAACTGGCAATTAAAGCAACTGTTATGTCTACACTGACGGTCATATTCCAGGCAACATAATGTGTTCAAAAAATACTGTGTGGAATATTTTAGCTCAGTGTATGTGGAAATATCTCTCCAGTTCTCTCTCAAGGTGCGCTCCAGTCACGTGCCCGGAGAGAAAAATTAACTAAAATTATGTGCCTGTTGCATAATCTGCCAGTCAAAACAGTATTCTGTAAAAATTACGCACATTTTCACTGAACTTTTTTGGAAAAAGTACGAAAAATTTAAAGGAAAAGTGCGTAACTGTTCCGTGATTTTTATTGAATTTTTCTCTCCGTATAATCTCATCATTCTTTACTTGCCATGATGATATCGATGTACCTTGTACGAAATATGTTGATCGTTCTTTCTTCTATTATCGATGAAGTATAATTTTTTTCTTTTCTATTTTCATGTTTGCAATGGTGAAATTGTTATTCAGATTTTATCCATTCATTTATCCACAGAGTAAAATAAATACCACGAATTTAGGTATTTGATGCATTGCCAGCCTCTAGGATCATTTTGCCTGTGCAAGAATTTCCGTTAACCAAAAACTTTGAATTTTTCTTGAACTTTTTGCTCCAAATTGAACTGATAGGTTGAAAAAATATAGTGATCGTATATGTGATCAGTTTTTAACTGTGTCAAAATTTCATTACAATAAAAACAATTTCCTAATTTTCTTCTAAAATGTTGGGAACTTCCTATAAGAACACTGGGTAAAACGCTTGTTTTTTTAGGAAAATGATAAGTTTGTTCTGGCGTTGCAAAAATATCTTGAATTTTCCTTACGGTTCTGGAATAGATTGGAAGTGCATTAAAAAAATTGTTATCACCGCTTTATATTTTTGTGCCCAGAGGCAGCACATCGTCAATGAAACTGAAAACTCCTAAATCTGTGTTTTCCTAAAGTTCAATCAAATGGAATGCATCAGCTACATCAAACTTGGAACTAATTGATAATTAATTCTGAGTTGGCTTTATCAGGAAAACTTAAAAAATTTAATTTACCAAGAAAAATACTGGCTAACGCAAAGATAGGATGATTATAAAGACTCTGTGTGAACGAAACAGCTGAGGTATTTGGATCTGTGAGCCAATGCCATGCTCCCACTGCTGTGCATACAGATATAAATCCAAGTAGTACTGAAAAATTATCTCCAATTAGCTAAATTCACGTCAAAACACAAGAAAAAAAAAGGACAATATCACTCACTCCTCCATCTCCGTGTAGATGGCTGTAGGCTGGCTATAACTTCCGTGAGCCTTCTTTCGAAAGCTTTGAGATCTGTAACAATTCATCGTAAACGCATATATTCTTAATTCGCATTTCTTTTCTCCGAAAATAAAATAAACTCATTGGTTATGTCAGGCTCACCTTCGCAAACTGTCTGATCCAAAGACATTCTCAATGTGAGAATTTTGTAAATACAGATTACAAATGCAAAGTCAACCCACAAACTGCAGAAATGTTGAAGTTTTTTACAATAATTAATACATTGACACTGAAGAACAATATTACAGTTCTCAGAGTACTGCCAGAGATTAGCAGAGATAAAGGGGGCCAATTACTAACGCCAATGGCCAAGCAGAGATTATAAGGGAGATTGCTAGGGCTTATGGAAAGGCTTTGACAAGTGATTCACTGCGGCGGCTACGGAACTACGCCCAGAGAGGCCGTACGTGTAAGTAAAACAGATCGCGAGCCTGTGAGTGTTGATAATTTTCAGAGCCCGTGCATGTCGATAATGTTCAGAGTCCGTGAGTATGGATAAGACGGAGCGCGAGCCCGTGAGTCTCGATAATTTGAGGCGGTCGTGAGTGTCACTAAGGTAGGGCACTTATCGAAATAACGACGACGTCCGAAAACGAACGAAAACATCCGATATACCGGTGAGTAGGGGTATGATGGGGACACAACCGATAGACGGAATGAAAAACGAGTTAACGTTCATAAATACGCCATTTGTTTAAAAAATTGAGGAAAAATTGTCTGGAAAAAGTATACTCAAACGATTGAGAATCAGTTGAAACGCCGAGATTTACTGGTCCCGCGGAACCTTTTTTTTTAATGGTTCCATCGTTGTTAACAAATTCAAAAATTATTGAACAAATTGGAGGGAAAATGTCTTGGAGGTATTTAGGTTCCGAGGGACCAGTAAATCTCGGCGTTTCAGCTGAGTCTCAATCGTTTGAGTAAATACCTCCAAGACAGTTTTCCCCCCATTTTGTTCAATAATTTTTGAATTTGTTAACAACAACGGAGCCGTTCAGAAAAAAAGGTTCCGAGGGACCAGTAAATCTCGGCGATTCAGCTGATTCTCAATCGTTTGAGTAAATACCTCCAAGACATTTTCCCTCCAATTTGTTCAATAATTTTTGAATTTGTTAGCAACGACGGAACCGATCTAAAAAAAAGGTTCCGAGGGACCAGTAAATGTCGGCGTTTCAGCTGAGTCTCAATCGTTTGAGTAAATACCTCCAAGACATTTTTCGCCCCATTTTGCTCAAAAATTTTTGAATTTGTTAACAACAACGGAACCGTTCAGAAAAAAAGGTTCCGAGGGACCAGTTAATCTCGGCGTTTCAGCTGATTCTCAATCGTTTGAGTATACATTTTCGAGACAATTTTTCCTCAATTTTTTAGACAAATGGCGTATTTATGAACGTTAACTCGCTTTTTCATTCCGTCCATCGATTGTGTCGCTATCATATCCACTCTCTGGTACATCGGATGTTTTTGTTTGTTTTCGGACGTCGTCGTTATTTCGATAAGTGCCCTATCTTGGTGACCCTTACGACCGCCTCGAATTATCGACTCTCCCGGGCTCGCTCTCTGTCTTATCCATACTCACGGGCTCTGAACATTATTGACACGCACGGGTTCTGAGAATTATCGACACTCACGGGCTCTCGACCTGTTTTACTTACAGGTATGGGCTCTCGATCTGCTTTACTTGCAGGTACGGGCTCTGACCCTGTTGAAGGTTTTGTACAGGGTGGGGGCTCCGTTTATACTTGCACGGGTGACCACCGCGGCCGCCACTTTGCTAGTGAGAAATGAATGCAACCGTGAAAATTCGAATATACTAATTGTCTATAATATTCACAAGAGGACTGTGTCTACTAAAATATCTACTGATTAAGGCCCGGATGGAGGGATTTTTTTCTCGACAGGCGATTTTACGCCCTCCTAATTCGCGGTCAAGACCCGAACCTTGATCTCAAGCGATGCCTTGTCGGTAACTACGGCAATCGCTGGAAACCAGGGAAACATTGGACAGTGGGGCTTTCGAGGGCGCCGGAAAATTTTTTCATTCGCTATGCCACTAAGTGGCATGAGAG